TTTTCTACTCTTTAAATGCGTTTGAGAGTTGCGCTTGTATGCCTCATTTTTAGGCTATTGATGAGCTTCATTTTTGTGCATTGCAAGTCATCATTTTAGTCCATTTTGCCACTGTTTTGGGTCTGCATAGGGACTGTTTGGGGTTGGTTTGGTCATTTGGGTATCGCTTTGCATACCTCTAGTGTAATGCACTTCACTAGTTTCGGTAATTGTGCCATCCAACATGCATTGTGTGAGTTGTTTGCGTGATTCAGGACCATGTTGCATGTTATTTCAGAGCTGGAACTTGTGCCATTGTATGCCATATTTCATCCTTGTCATGCTTTGGTAGAGTTGGACTTTGTTCCTTAGGTTTGGTCCCTTGTATTTGTGCATGTTTGCATGTACCTTGTTGCCTTATTTTCATCATATGGCCACTGATTTGAGTGTGGCTGAGGCCCATTCATTTTAGTTTAAGTCCATCTTGCATTATGTATGCCATATCCATGTTGTCGCATGCTTGATCGTCGCATTGTGTATGCCTTATTCATGTCTTCGTGCATGTCCATCTTCGTATGGGCATTGTGTATGCCATACAGTTCATGTGCATTGAGTATGCCATTCTTAGTTCATAGCATTGTGTATGCTAGTTGCATGTTTGTATATCATCCCTCGCACGTTAGTATGATTAGGTTGCATTGCGTTTAGGGTTGCATACTAGTCGTATTGTGTATGTCATGTATATTGCATTGTGTTTGGAATAGGGTTTAGTCCAAACACGGGAAATGAGGGACGTTTCGTACTCCAAGTGACAAAATGTGCCTCGATTCTCGGTCGCCAACACTCTAGATTACCCATGATGGAGTTTAGGCCTTGTTGCGTTTATATGTGCATTCATTTTACATCAAGTCGTGCAATCCGACTCCTCGACCATCATGCATCAAGATGCGTGATTGGTGGCACGAGGATCAAGGACTACACTCCTTGGAGCTTGTGCAATGATGGGGAGAGTGGTCATGCACACATATGTTGAAAATACTTTGCCATGACCCTTTCTCGCTCTCTGTTACAGCAAATCGGAAACCAGCAGCAAAAACTGGTCAGCAGCCTTCTGGAGCTTTGTACAGTGTTTTGGGACCAGTTGCAAACAGAGGCAAATCGGAGCATCGCGATGGATTTTCCGACAAGGCGACTTGAGCATGCATGCATCCCTATCATTCGGAATAGAGCTAAGGCAGTCCATTTTGTTTAATTTGCATGCTAGTTTCCTTACTTACTTAGTTAATTCGTTAATTAATTAATGTTTGTAATAATTAGTTTAATTAGCTTAGATTAGCTAGTTTATTCTGTACTATTCATTCGGACCCTCAAAGGAGGGCAATGTTGTAAATAAGTGTGCGTGTGTGCGCTACATGTCTTCCAACCTCACGTCTTTCTCCCTTTTATATTACCAGTTTACGATGGTTAGTTTTAGGACATGTTTCAATTAGCATCCTTATGTTTCGCATGTTTGCATTCATTCATCTGTCTTGCATGTACCGGGCTCGGCGCATCATACTAACTGCATTGTATTTCAATTTCGAGTTGAATACATGTTATTTGTAGCACCTCATATGCCATTTTAGAATAGCCGAGCCTATCTTAGTTGCATCTTGCATGTGTTGCATTAGCCATTTTAACATGAACTAGGATCATGCATTGATTACTAACTAGTTTTTGTTTTGGCTTGGAGTACTCGGTGAGTGTTTATGCTTTAGCATCCTTGCATGTGTGTGAGTGACTGCCATGATAACATGCTTGCCATGAGGCTAACTGCTTATGTGATATAACTGCCTGAATGCCTGTGGGTGAATGTTAGATTATTTGAATTGGAACAATTCATTGATTGCGAGTTTTAAGCCCACTTGAGAGTGGCAAATCACCATATTTTTCTAAGCCCACTTGAGGGTGGCAAAATTCGCATTTTAGCCTACTTGCGAGTAGTAAACCGCTTTTAAAAATAAACATGAGATGTTTTGTTCCAACTTAGGTGATCCAATCTATACTTGTATGCTGTGCGCATCACATAGTAATTCTAGGCTAATAAACTGGAATAAGAACGCATGTGTTTTCAAAAACAAGATATCATGTTTAGTAGTGGCCGATCTTTGATCGGGCGAGCGAGGGTGCTCATTGCATGACCTTCCCCAATCGTACCCAAGTTCCTGAGCCGAGGCAACTTTGGTGATGATGGACACGTGGCTTTAGGCACGAGTCAGGGTTCTCTAAATTCCCCAAAAATAAAATATTTAGGTGGCGACTCTATATCTGGCAAAACAGTCCATGTTTGGCACTTCTTTCTAAAAATCAGTTTTTCAAAATGATTTGCCGGATTTGGACTCTTTGGTGATTTATCGATCTTGCATTGCACTTTGTGAGATCAGATTAAGAACCGTGATATTGAGTCCGTTCTGTAGTGAGCCCAAATGAACAAAACGGGATTTTCCCGGGACATTCGAGGACGTCTACACAAATACCATTCACGTCCCCTATTTTATCAAGGGTCGTAGGCGGGGAAAACCCCAATGAACTAGGATGGGGATGGAAGAAGGAGGGCATGATGGAGTGAGGACGAAGGTAGTACAAAGGGGTGTTTTGAAAAGATGGTTAAAAGTTGGTTTTTGATTTTTAATCAAGCTTTTTGATTTTTTTAAAAAGTGATTTGGAAAGTTAGTAAAAAAATTGTTTTTTATCCTTTTTGGTTAATATTTGTTTATGATATCACATCACAATAAAATGACCAAAATACCTCCACATAAATTAAGAAATTTACCCTCAAGTTGTAAACATGGAAGGCAGTCTTGTAATTTCAGCAACTTTTAGACAAATCTATGATCTGGTGTTTTCAACAGCTTCACAAATGAGTTTCTGTACAAAAAAGCCACGTTTGGCTTTTAGACAAAACGCTGAAACACTGCTTATAACCACCTACCCAGATCAAGCCAAATTGTCATTCTTAACATTTAAGCTAGTGTTATAATGAATTGTTTTATTTATTTATTTTTGTCATTAAAGATAGAATGATCATATTTTTATATCACCACCGAGGGCGATGGCCCAATGGTGAAGGCATTGTCTTCTCACAGCCATGAGTCAACTTCAACTCCTGGGGGGCGCAAAAATATTGGATATTCCAGTGGCTCTCTACGGAGACCTCGCGTTGTACTCTGATCAAAACTTGGCTTTGATTGAGGCGGTTGATAAGCTTCACTAGTGCCTCGGTAGTAGGTTCCTTCCTATGGGTTAAATCAAGCCGGCAAAAGCTTGGGCCCACGGATGCCATGATGACACCTCAGAGCATCTTTTTTTTTTTCAGTTCAAAAAAAAAAATCATATTTTTATGTCAAAATTTGTCAATTATTTCATTTGTCCATGCTATAAATATACTTAAGTAATGAGACCTATATTATATTAATATCATAATGATTTGTGAAACAATAAATAAAATATTATTGTTTTAATATTATTATTTTTAATAGGTAGTAGTACGTGGCAGTTAATAATTTGATTTATTTTGATAATTGAGTTAAAAGTCAATTTTTTGATTTTTTAATTCTTAACATTTTAGCCAGTGTTATAATGAATTGTTTTATTTATTTATTTTTGTCATTAAAGATAGAATGATCATATTTTTATATCACCACCGAGGGCGATGGCTCAATGGTGAAGGCATTGTCTCCTTGGGGGGCGCAAAAATATTGGATATTCCAGTGGCTCTCTACGGAGACCTCGCGTTGTACTCTGATCGAAACTTGGCTTTGACTGAGGCGGTTGATAAGTTTCACTAGTGCCTCGGTAGTGGGTTTCTTCCTATGGGTTAAATCAGGCCGGCAAGAGCCTGGGCCCACGGATGCCATGATGACACCTCAGAGCATCTTTTTTTTCAGTTCAAAAAAAAAAAAAATCATATTTTTATGTCAAAATTTGTCAATTATTTCATTTGTCCATGCTATAAATATACTTAAGTAATGAGACCTATATTATATTAATATCATAATGATTTGTGAAACAATAAATAAAATATTATTGTTTTAATATTATTATTTTTAATAGGTAGTAGTACGTGGCAGTTAATAATTTGATTTATTTTGACAATTGAGTTACAAGTCAACTTTTTGATTTTTCGATTTTTTTAGATTACATTATTTTTTTACTTTTTACGCATTTTTTTTAAAAATGTCAAAATTTTTTTTTTTTAAACCTACTTCTCAATGTTTTGTGACCTTAATTTCATTAATAGTGCTAAAAATTTATATGGAATTTTAATCTAGGATAACGTGACAGCTTTAGATCTCCTATCACTTAAAAAGTAGAGACTCATTAATATGTTATTTTTATTTTTAAATTTATTATATAAATAAAATCCTATATAAAATTATTTTTAGATTTTTAGTTTAAAACCAATTTTATATAAAAAAGAAAATGATATATAAATCTATTTTTTAGATTTATCTTCTAAACTTCGTGATATATTAAAAAAATAATTAATTAAAAATTAGAGAATAAATAAGAAACGGAGTCAATTTAAATATTTTAATAAAATGCCAGCCTATGAAATGGATCTAATTTTTGTGTTTGAACAAGAATATTTATATAAAAATACATAAAAAGATATTTTCCGAACGATAAGGAAACACGGGGCAGTTTGGTCATTACAACGAGACGACCAACACCGTTAGTTTGGAACCAACCAATGTGGTCCCCACCTCAGACAACCGACAACGACATCTCACAAATCCTACAATTAAAAAGAAAGATTTTTAACTGAGCCTAAAACGCACCACGTGTCCTAATCGGATCCAAATTGATTTACCCAGATCCGGCTAAAACTATTCTGCTTCGGGCTTTAGATTTAGCTCCACGTCACCACACTCAATCCCACGTGGCACCTCTCATCACCCTCCGTGCCCTCTCTACATCCACGTCATCAGTCTTCAGACCTTACTATAAATAATAATATCTTCTCTCTTAGGCCATCTCTCTCTCTCTCTGTCTCTCTCTCTCTCTCCTCTGTCTATCTTCGCTGTTGCTCAACCAATAGAAAAACCAAAGAAAAAGTTTTTCTTCCAAGTAAAATAACAAATCGAGCATACAAAAAAACCCTAGAAAACGCTTGGAATTCGTTTCAGGTTTTTACGTTCGATTCGGCAAGTTTGTGTCTCCGATTGGACGAGTTGCTCGATTTGCTGGGTCTGAGCTGTAGAGAGTTGAAGCTCTGTTCTTTGTCGTTGAAGTTTATTAGGTAATTTGGTGTTTGATGTACTTCTTTCTCTTCGGTTAAATTTTTTTGTTTTTCGAAAAATCGAACCAAAAAAGAAAAAGAAACACTCAGTGCTCTGTTATTATGAGATATGTTTGGTTGCTGAGAAATTGTAGGAAAGTAAATGAGAAATGTGAATTTTTTGTTTTTGGATGTTTTGGTTTTAATTTAGTGAGAGTTACACTAACCGTTTCTGTGATTTTAGTATGAAGTTGAAATGAGTTTTTTTCTTTTTCTTGTTTGTTTTTTTATTTTTATCTTCTTGAAGGATTTTCTTATATTTTCTAGCCCAGCAAAAAGTGGGTCAAACATTGTGGTTTTGTATCGTGCAATGTTTTTGAATAGTTGTGTATTATTTGGATTGTTGAAATTGTCTACATAGGTGGTAAGGTTATATAAGGTCATAGTTTCTCTGATATCTTGCACTGGTTTTGTAAGTAAGATCTAGTTATGGGTTATTATTGTTTCCAACAGTTTAGAACTGGAAAAGTGCACTATATATGTTGGAATGATTTGAGGGGTTTGGTATCTCAATTTGTCTGTTGTAATGCTCTAGTCACATATAATAAGTTACTTTATTTTATTTTTATTTATTTTTATCTTGATAGATTAGGGTTAAATTTGTAGTATAAGACAATTAATTGTTGTGATTTATTTGTGGCATCTTATTTTGGAATTCCTTCATCTCTCTGTGTAGAATTTGTTGAGGAGTGAGTTTGTCTTCATAGAGGTGGGTTTCTTGTCGACAACGGTATGTGCAATTTCTCTACTAAAATAGAAGTTTTCCTGCCGACTAAATCTAGTGCTTTATTCATCATTGGTCATTTTGAATCCGGTTGATGAGGGCTGTTCGAGTGAACTCTAATGGTCCTGCAACCAAAGGGTTGGCGGAACTCAATCACCATCTATGGGATGAGCAAAAGGAAGCAAGGGATGGAGTTGTAGGTGATGGGCATGGGCTCTCCGAGGAAGATGAGTCCAGGATTAATGAGGATGCTGAAGATGCAAACTGTGGACGCAAGGAGTTGGTCCAGCTCCCGGCTGTTCAGCAGAGACTGCAGCAACAGCCTCAAGGGCCTCAAGCATCAGTGGTTCACTGGGAAAGGTTTCTTCCTCTCAGGTCTCTCAAGGTTCTGCTGGTGGAAAACGACGATTCAACTCGCCATGTTGTCAGCGCATTGCTTCGGAATTGCAGTTATGAAGGTCTGTAAATCTTTGTTACTCTGTATGTTATATTTATTTGATCTTGATTTTTATATTTATTTTTTTATGATGCATAAAGTGGGCTGTTCAGTCTTTTAGATGGTTGTTTACATGGTGCAAGCCTCTTCTTATACGGGGTTTGGAGTATTTTGTTTATCAAATCTTCGCACTGCAAATTCATCTGAATCTTTGGATGAATGTATATAATTCCTTCATCTCTGAGATTGTTAATATGATATTGTTTTGAACTGTCCCTTGTATGAGTTGCTAACTTGCTGTTTCTTACATCATTTGCGGCATGGATTTGTTATTTGTTTATGTAGATTTTCTTATTATTAAAATCCAAATTAAATTAAAGATATTGGTGGTACTGTCATTAGGGATCCTAATATACATTAGGAAAACCTGGTCATGCATTCTTTATGAAGTAGTGGCCACACATGATCCTATGATATTATACACTTGGAATTGCTTACATGATTAGTGGGTTTTATGCAATGATACCAATATCAAACAACAAATCTTTTTCTTGATTAAGAAAACAAAAAATTTAAAACTAAGCTTCTTTAGGTCATTCAATTGTCCAGTGACACATGTAATCAAGTCAGTTTGGTCTTCTGTAAATTTTGTGCGGTAATCAGTTTTCAGTTGCAAAATTTTCTACAAGTTTTGCAATTATCTGTTTAAAAAACTATTTTTGATAAAATTACCCTCTATTTTGGTGAATTGATTAATCAATCCTGTATACTTTGACTTAAGGAAACAGAAAGGTAGTTGCTGAATGTCTTTCTGTGGATATTGGAAACTCTTTTGCTCCATTGGGATTGGATATATTAGTTTTTCCATGATTCCTTACTCGACATTCTCAAGGGTAGATTTTGACTAGTTGGAGGGGTGAGAATCGTGCCGTGTCATGTCGTGTCATATCGGGTTTATGTTCAAAACAATCCAACACTAACATGGCCTATTTAATTAAACATGTCAATTATCTTGACACTGACTTGACCTACTTATAATTCTGTTAACACTAACACAACATGCTTAATATAATTAGCAAAAGTTCATGTTTCAGATTATAAGCAAAACAAATTGTACCACCTATTAAAAAAAAAAATTGTTTCACTTCACATGCATAAGAATAACTTTTAAACATTGACACACAATGATAAAATCTATACCAATATCTATGAAAACAATTATAAATATTCATAACTAATCCATTACACATCCAATCTAAACTATTGTCACTCATTAATACTTAAATATCCAATAAAATTTAAAAGCAAAACAAGTTTTGATCTAATACCAAACTATTAATAATAATAATAATAATAATAATAATAATAATAATGTTGTAGCTATGCCACATCCAAAGTAACATTGTTGTGATTCTTTCACATTGACTCTTGTCACAAAAACATTGTTGCCACACATTGAAAAATTCTCCTGTCTACCAATCTTAACTTTTGCCGATTTATCATTGAATTAGGGTTGCACTTCATTTTAGGTATATATATATATTATATAGAGATCTAAGTTTTAATCTAACGGATGTGAATGAATTACTCAAGATCTTATGGTTACTAAATACAGTTTATATTTGGATTACATCTGAGTCAATAGTGGATTTGTGTCAACATGTTGACACGAATTTAACCCAAACACGACCCATTTAATATTCGTGTTTTGGGGTTGTGTCATATTCCGATTCGAGTCAAAAAATGATTAACCCTAACCCTCTAATTGCGCGTACGATTGAGTTGTGTTAATAGGTTATGTGCCAAATTCCCCACCTTGAAGTTGGATGATACCTATTTCATCCACCTCCCCAATGGTCCCACATTTATTTTTGTCTTCCCCTTGATCCCAAACAATTATAGTGTTTGGGTTTGAGAAGTGTATGTTTGTCAAGGGGTGGTGGAGTGCAACCTTCCAAAAATAATTGTATCTTATACATTGGCCCCCATTTTAAATTTGGCATTAATTTTGGCTTCCCTAATTTTTTTTTTTAAAAAAAAAAAAAAAAAACTTTGTTGAAAGATGTTTCTCAGTTTAACTTAATGTCTTATGTAATGACATAAAAAAAATTATTTTGGCCTTCTGTTTAATGTCATTGGTGATCACATATTAAAAAACTTCTAGTAAACAAGAAATATTGTCTACTTTTTTAAGCTATGAAGCACGGACATGGATACAGATACGGATACGGATACAAACACGAACACGGACACAGACACGGGACACGGTGATTTCAAAAAAACAGGGACAAGAACATGGCAGGGGACACGACAAATTATTATTATTTTTATTATATATATTTTCTATGTAGATTAATATTATGTTACCAAATAATCAAAATTAATAAAAGCTAACATTAATTCAATATATATATAAACCACTACATTTAAATAAATTAATAGTTTGTCCAAATTTGAACACGTGTGTCCCTGCTGTGTTTCCTGAAGAAAAAAAAAATAAAAAAATATGTTGTCTACTTTTTTAAGCTATGAAGCACGGACATGGATACAGATATGGATACGGATACAAACACGAACACGGACACAGACACGGGACACGGTGATTTCAAAAAAATAGGGACAAGAACATGGCAGGGGACACGACAAATTATTATTATTTTTATTATATATATTTTCTATGTAGATTAATATTATGTTACCAAATAATCAAAATTAATAAAGCTAACATTAATTCAATATATATATAAACCACTACATTTAAATAAATTAATAGTTTATCACGTGTGTCCCTGCTGTGTTTCGTGAAGAAAAAAAAAAATAATAATAATAATAATAAAATAAAATGAAGGAACACTCCATTTGGCGTGTCCCTGCCGTGTCCTAGTTGTTTCCCCTTCAAAAAAATAAAACTAAAACTAAAAGGACACACCATTTGGCGTGTCTCAGTGTCCGACACCGCAAAGGTGCCTATTTTGAAGTGTTCGTGCTTCATAGTTTTTAAGTAATTAAAATTATAGTCTACTTAATTGGTATGAAATAATATAAAACAATAAAATGGCTCCTATAATTTTTTTAAGTAGACCACATTTTGAGCCTAAGAACATTGAGTAATATTCAAATAATTACATATGCTTATGAGAAGTGAGAAGCATGTCTAAATTGAGATTAGTCTCCTATAGTTTTAGATTAGGCTAATTGGTCTATATTAAGTAATATTTTAACAATTATTTAATCTATTAAAACTTGATCCAACCCACCATTTATTTGGCAAAATTTGTCATGTCTAAATTGAGATTAGTCTCCTATAGTTTTTGATTAGGCTAATTGGTCTATATTATGTAATATCTTATTAATTATTTAATCTATTAAAACTGGATCCAACCCACCCTTGTGTTTGTCTGAACCAAAATCAATTTGGACTTCTATATTGGCTACTTAGCTTCTTTATTTATTTATTTATTTCCTTTCTTTTTTTATTCCTACTATCTTGTTTGATCAAGGGAAATGGTACAGTAGGCTTCATGGATCTTGCACCCCATTTACTACAATCATCATGCTAGCATTGATATGGGTCTTTATGGGATATTTAGGGATAAGCTCCCCTCCATACCCTTCTCATGGGCCCCCCCGAACACACACATATGTTCTGAACCGTCTATCTCATAGATCTTGTAGCAGAGGTTTTTCATGCAAAAAATCAACTTCATCGGACAACTATAAATATGGAAACAAATCGTATTTTATTTTGTAAAATGGATGGTTTAAGTTTACAATCCATGGATGGTTCATTTTATAAAATAAAATGTTTGCTATGTTTATAGTTGTCCGATGAAGCTGTTCTTTTGTATTAATAATCTTTATTGCAAGGCTTATGAGATAGATATTTCAGATCATTTGTCTGTGTTGGATTGGAGTCCACAAGAGGGGGTATGAAAGAATATAGAGAGATAAGGCATGGAGGGAGCTCCTGCCGGATATTTAATATTTTGAAGGAGAATTTCATCACCCAATTTGTATAAAGTAAAATTTGACCTAAATTCAACTCCATAAGATATGTAGGCCATGTTTGGTTTGGTTTTCAAAAATTTGTTTCATAAATTTTTCTAAAAAACTAAAAATTAATTTGGTGAAAGAAATAAAAAAATCAAAAACACTTGTCATTTTTATATAATTTTATCTTTTTGGGAGCTCATAAATAATTTTTTAAAATTTAAAATAATATTTTTTATATTTATTTTAATCAAACTAGTTTCTATTTTTTCAAAAAAAATTCTGAATTTTTTTTTCTAAAACACAAACCAAACAAGGCCGTAATCTCATGGAAGACCATACATTTGTTTTGCAACATTTCACATGGTTCTCTAGGATAAGAAGCCACAACCTTGAAATGCCATGGAAGGGGCTTCAATCATTTTTCACAAACATTGGATATTTTAGCTCTTGCGAGGTTGGAATAACCAAGAGTCATAGAGTTTTGTTTGTTGAGAGAGAAGTTTTAATTGGGAAGGGGATGATCCTAAGTTTCATGTTAAGGCCCTTAGTTTACTATGCCCTAGTATTGGCATTAATTTGAAATGCCATAAGAGGAATGCTTTTAATGGAACATCTTTTGATTATAGGGGAGAAATTGTTATTCTTTCCGGGAAGGGGATGATTAATGTATATGACAGACAAATTGTTGAAAATGATAAAGGGGAATGTTTCATTTCTCTTGATGAGGAAAGGGTAAACAAATGAGACAATTTGTAGATGGCATGGGTTTGTCATTGATAAAAAGGAAAAAAAAATTGTGATAGTGGGTTGTTTCTCAAATAAAGCCAAGTAAGTTGAGGGTAGCAACAGAAGGGGGGTCAAGGGGTTGAGAAACCTAATTAGTGGAATGAACTAAGACGGTTGCTCGAAAGAGGCTAGATTTACTGATGGTTCTTAATGACGGTAGTAAGTTGGAATTTGAGGGGACTTGGGTCCCAAGAGAAAGAGAGGAGCTGTTAAAGAAGTTTTGAGAAAGAATAGTCTAGATAT